TGACAGTGCCTCGAGGGTTAGCTGCGTAAGGCAGTGGAACCCCTGGCACTGTAAAGTCACACTCTGGCCCTGTAACGTCACACAGAGGACCTGTGATATCCATTTCCGTACACGTGAGTGAGCTAGGTCTTTGTACTATTATAAGAGAGAATGTATGTCCGTCTGGTCGAAGTTGGAGGCCAGACACTCGGGGTTAGCTTCACCCAAATTTACAGAGGGAATGGTCTGAGGTCTGGGATGAAAATAGGCTGGGCGTGGTCTCTCCAAAATTAAAAAGTGAACAGCGTGGCAGGGCCACATTCAGACTCCCACTACGATTTTGGGTTCTACCCGCCAGCTACATCGCTAAATATTTTCAAAACAAACTTAAAAAAAAATATCTTACAGTATTGTGCAAAATTATTCGCTGATCTCAGAAAAGTTAACAGAAATTTTCTGCTGAACATCTTTTGCCTGTACTCGCATAAGATAAACAAATCTCCAACACCGTCAAAGATTTCTCAGGCCACGGCTGTTCTCCTAGTGAAGGGGTAACTATTCTGGTCTGTGGTATTTCACACCTCTGAGATCAACTCGCTGCCGACAACCCAAATATTAAAGATTAAATTTTGTTTATAAAAGACAGACAGAGACAGGGCAGAGACAGACTGAGACAGAGAGATGATAGAACGATAGAACGATAGAACGATAGATAGATAGATAGATAGATAGATAGATAGATAGATAGATAGATAGATAGATAGATAGATAGATAGATAGATAGATAGATAGATAACTAAATAGATAAACAGTTGGATAGATGAAGAAATAATGGATATATATATATATATATATATATATATATATATATATATATATATATATATATATATATATATATATATATATATATATATATATATATATATATAAACCTAGAAGGGGTACCACCTCTGGTGCAAGTGTAGTGTACTCAGAGAAGACCTTGTTGATCCTCATTGAACACTTTATAATATAATGGCCAGAACCGCATTACTTGGCCTAGGAATTTTGTTATTATCCATTATTTTTTCCAATTAATATTTTTATATTACATTAGGAACATGAAATACTGATATAATTAGGTTAAATTGAATTATGTTTCATCAAATTTCTGTTAGTTTTACAGGAAATGTAAACAAAAATCAAATCATATGTAATGTCGCTTAATCGTTCCATAAGAAAAAAATGTAAAAATGTTATATATCAGGAAAATTCGGCTTGTTTGTGAACTTGGCCTATTATGTACAATATATATATATATATATATATATATATATATATATATATATATATATATATATATATATATATATATATATATATATATATATATATATATATATATGTGTGTATATCACGAAAATAAACACGTGATTAAGAATGTGAATTAAGAACGTGATTAAGAATATATATATATATATATATATATATATATATATATATATATATATATATATATATATATATATATATATATATATATATATATATATATATGTCGTACCTAGTAGCCAGAACGCACTTCTCAGCCTACTATGCAAGGCCCGATTTGCCTAATAACCCAAGTTTTCATGAATTAATGTTTTTTCGGCTACCTAACCTAACTTTTTCGGCTACCTAACCTATAAAGATAGGTTAGGTTAGGTTAGGTAGGGTTGGTTAGGTTCGGTCATATATCTACGTTAATTTTAACTCCAATAAAAAAAAATTGACCTTATACATAATGAAATGGGTAGCTTTATCATTTCATAAGAAAAACATTTGAGAAAATATATTAATTCATGAAAACTTGGCTAATTAGGCAAATCAGGCCTTGCATAGTAGGCTGAGAAGTGCGTTCTGGCTACTAGGTACGACATATATATATATATATATATATATATATATATATATATATATATATATATATGTCGTACCTAATAGCCAGAACGCACTTCTCAGCCAACTATGCATGGCCCAATTTGCCTAATAAGCCAAGTTTTCATGAATTAATGTTTTTTCGACTACCTAACCTACCTAACCTAACCTAACCTAACTTTTTCTGCTACCTAACCTAACCTAACCGATAGAGATAGGTTAGGTTAGGTTACGTAGGGTTGATTAGGTTCGGTCATATATCTACGTTAATTTTAACTTCAATAAAAAAAATTGACCTCATACATAATGAAATGGGTAGCTTTATCACTTCATAAGGAAAAAATTAGAAAAAATATATTAATTCAGGAAAACTTGGCTTATTAGGCAAATCGGGCCTTGCATAGTAGGCTGAGAAGTGCGTTCTGGCTATTAGGTACGACATATATATATATATATATATATATATATATATATATATATATATATATATATATATATATATATATATATATATATATATATACGACCAAAGTTGGAGGCTAGACGCTTGGGCCTAGCCTCATCCGAATTGGCGAGAATGGTCTGGGATCCGGGATGAACAGAGGCTGATCGGGGTCGCCAGAATTCAAAAGTAAACAACGTACCAATGCCACATTTAGACCCTCGCGGCGAATTTTGGCACTGTTTGCCACTATTCCTACGAAAATATCTTGAAATGAAATATTCTAAACTGATTCTTTTTCTTAATGGAATACACTACTCTTCATTGATTTCAGGATAATTAACATAAATTTCGTGCTATTTAAACACGGCCATTATCCCATAAAATGTGTAATTTATATTCTGAAATTAACTTCCCCTTATCACTGAGTTTGATTAAAATGCATTTTCACGTAAAAACAATAACATAAGCGTGTCTCAACCGCCAAAAACTGGGTTAACTGTGAAGTCGTGGGCGTTGGACTCTATTGAACCGTGCCTGCACCGCTGCGCTCCAGCAGGCCCACGTGCATCCCACTGAGTGTCGTGTTGCCAAGCGCACACTGTCACCCCGTCGGGAAACATTCTCATAAGCACTTTTGCGTAATTGTTGAGAGAAAGGTATATCTCCGTGACAATCTGGCAACGATATACTGTCTGGTAATTATTTTTTGATTGTGCAAAAAAATATCAGTTGCGAATTGCGTCGTTTGATAACTTTTAAAATATATGAAATATCTGTCTTTAACAGATTTTGACGTATTCAGTACATATGTAGCCTGAGGTTTCCCTGTGACTTACGACAGATGAGACTATATACATATATATATATATATATATATATATATATATATATATATATATATATATATATATATATATATATATATATATATATATATATATATATATATATATATATATATATATATATATATATATATATATATATATATATATATATATATATATATATATATATATATATATATATATATATATATATATATATATATATATTGCGCATTCAGAGCTAAATGACAAGTTTTTCTCTGAATGTTCTGTGTTCCCTTCTTCCTTTTTCTTTCCCCTACAATTGCACCAGAGGTGGTACCCCCCTTTATATATATATATATATATATATATATATATATATATATATATATATATATATATATATATATATATATATATATATCTGTGTGTGTGTGAGTGTGTGTGTGTGTGTGTGTGTGTGTGTGTGTGTGTGTGTGTGTGTGTGTGTGTGTGTGTGTGTGTGTGTGTGTGTGTGTGTGTGTGTGTGTGTGTGTGTGTGTGTGTGTGTGTGTGTGTGTGTGTGTGTGTGTGTGTGTGTGTGTGTGTGTATGTGTGTGTGTGTGTGTGTGTGTAAAGAGAAAGTGTTTGTCTGAACTTCTGGCATTCCAAGTTTCTAGTAATCAGTTTACCTTCGCTTTCAATTTGGCAGAAAAAGCCATCGCTATCCATTTAAACTTAATTGATCAGAGACGCTGAGGTTCATTTTCTCAATATATTCATCCTCTTTGAGAATAACATATTGGCGGCATATTGCTTCTTCTAACAACTGCTTACTTATTATACAAAGAAACAGAGCAGAGGCAGAAGCTGCATGTGCATGTAATGCATCCTTAGGGGTGACGTCCCCCTGTGCCTCGCGGTCGAGTATGTCATCTAGCAAGATCTCCAACTTCACCTTACGGGTCATCTCGCTTGGTCTGGACACAACGTGGTAGATAATGTCCAGACTTGAGTGTAGTGTTGTCCTCAATGAGCTAGGTTCCGGGGGAGTTACTGATGCCTTATGATAGTGAAGCAGAGACAATGGGCGTTGGTCCTTGTGATAGTGAAGGAGAAGAGAGAGAATAACGGATTAAGATGCATGTCTAATAACTAATCAGATAAAATTTTGAAATCAGTCACATACTGGATAGTCTCACGCATGCGCGTGTTCAATACTAGCGGGAAATTACATTATTCTCAGCAATCCACATTTTTTGAACGATCTTATCTAAGAATTCGCACAATTTGAGTACGGAATCGTCTGGTCACCTTGTCTAAGTCTTGAGAGGAATTTCTAGCAAATTTGTCTGTGTTTTATCAATACGCATCCAACCGCTCTCGTCAGGTCGGTACAGTGACCGTCTCTTTTTTTGCACGATCAATGCTCGATCCCTGATGGTTCGAGTGGCTAGGCACTGTTTCTTTTATTCTATCCTCGACCTCCAGCTCCTTTTCCCCATACTCCCTCGAAGTACTATATAATCATACAGGCTTACCTTACTCGCCTGATAATTATTTTACTTTATATCAAATAGATATCTTATGATTTAACAGGAAATGCAGGTAAGTTAGAATCATTTAGTCATATATATCATCAATATATCGCAACGAAGTTATGTTAAGTAGTATTAATTTGGGAAGGAAATTAATAGAAAGTCCATATTGTGATGACGTAGTTATTATTAGGTTTCATTGCCAATTAGGTTGATATCACCTTTTGGTTTTATTGAAAAATAATCTGCATGAATGGGTGAAAAAGTATTCCATAACACACTAATTTTAAGAAATTCAGGTACATGAACTTGATCTGAGAACGCTGGAACATGGCCAGATAACGCTAGAACATGGCCAGAGAACACTGGGACATGGCCAGAGAACGCTGGGACATGGTCAGAGAACAGTAGGACATGGCCGGAGAACGCTGGAACATAGCCAAAGAACGCTGGAACATGGCCAGAGAAAGCTAGAATACGATGGCAACAGAATTTTGAAACATTACAAATAAAATGTATGTTTGGCAGATCAAGATTTGGACGGTTTCAGAGAAAAAATATTATTTTATAATATAATATTATTTCAAAATTAGAGAGAAAAACAGAAAAACCCTTCTGTACCATAATTATATTAAATTTTGCTTCTTGTAACTTATTTTGTTCTCAACAATGCAGTTACTATCAAACGAGCACTTTCTATTTCGATAAACATATACGACAAATCTAAAGCCAATTTGTTTTAACAATAAAAATATGATAAATATCAGTAAAATTGGTTTTGATTGCTTACGAAATACATATTGAAATAATATATATTGTTCCGTAAACTATGCTGGCGAAACAATGGAATAGTTGTGCCCTGCGTGTCTTTTTTGCCTTCAATTGTATTTCAAGTGTCAAATTGTTTCATAATTCTTATAGTTTATTTCAGAAGTTTTAATCCACAAGCCATGAGTGTGTAAGACTGATTGTATACAGTTCTTTAAGCACGAGCAGTATAGTTTCTCGAAGACAAGCTTAACGAAAGAGAACGCTGTTATTAGACATGTAAATGAAAACGCCTTAACCATTCAGGTGAAAGAAAATACTATCATACAGATGCAAATAAAAATAACGCTCACAATATACTGAAGTATTTTGCTAGTAAAATCTTTGAATTCATGTCCGTACAATTGTCCTATAAATGACTGAATAAATGAATCAACGTGGCCTCATTTAACCTTCATACCGGAAATATCTTGAGATCCTAAGACCAGCGGCGGATCTTGTTCCTAAAGAAAATGTGATTTTCTCCATGTTAAACTCTTTATTTTAATGATAATTATTGTCATTATTATGTATATACTATTGGCTTCAGATACAATATATCCATTTCTTTTGTGTTTAAGGTAAAATACATTTTAAGATAAATTTGTACATTTTAAGATAACAATTAATATATATATATATATGTTTGATCATTTTTAACTATATAATTTAAAAAATTACAAATTTGCATGTCAAAAACTATGTTCCAATAGATGTATGAAGAATACTCAAAACTTCCCACAAAGATACCCGAAGTCACTTGTGAACGAAACAATGTATAAACTGCGAGATGTATCCTTTTCTGTATGTGTATATACTTGAGGCTTCTTTAGTCCTGGAATATATTCAGGACAAAAGGTTTATTGCTAATTGATCATTAATGATCGTAGTGGTATTGGTAGTGTTGGTGGTGTTAGTACAAGTGCTCAAATCTGAACACAGAAAACAAGTTGTCAAACAGACCAGAAATCCTGAGACTCATGGAGCTATCGAGCCGACACGCCCTTCCGGGTAAACCTCCTCTCGTTGCTAAAGAGAAATAAATCTTCGAGAAAGGCGGAAGGCGATCAAGAACCACTATCGAGGCGTAGCGCCAGCTGCCACATTGAAGAATGGATTCTTCTAGTGCTGGGTCATCCACGTTGATGATGTGTGTGACCAGAGCGAAGATGGGTTTATATAAAGTGCTTCAGACTTAGCATTGTTACCACTGTGGGCTCTGACATCCTGGCAACTGGACACCAACAAGTCGCTAAGATGGTTTCTAGAACTGTGAGTGAACGAACATCTTTACTGTGAGAATACTAATCAGCAGCTGGTGTTATTTCCCTCTTGAGATTGTCTGGTGTTCAAGATTTGTTGGGACAAGCTGGTTTTGCCGTATTGGAGACCACCTGGCACAGACGTGTGCTAAAACGGTAGGCATAGCTCTCTCCTCCTGAAGCAACTCCAACAGGAAGAGGATAACTCGAACTCCATCTTGATATCTCTACCAAGAATTGTACAGACAATCCATTCTCTACTGCTTGATGGTTTGGTGTTGGGATTAAACGTCTATGGAAACTTATTAAGACAACAAAATTTTAATGACCAATGAACACAAAAAAGTTGTAGCCCTAGACATAGTCCAAGATTTGTTTATCAATTTTAATGACATATAAGCCAATGTAAAGTGATCGGTCTCCTGACCTTAATTTATAATCCAAATTATTATTTTATTATTATATATCTAATTGTATTATATTATTATAAATACTAATACTTTACTATTGATATGGAATTATCATTATTATTATTTTATTTTATTATATTATTATTAGTACTGTTATTTTATGTTATTATTATTATTATTATTATTATTATTATTATTATTATTATTATTATTTATTATCATTATTATTATTTATTATTATTATTATTATTATTTTTCAGATACTACTTCTGTCGGCACTGTTACTCTGGGTCTCCAGCACGGCCAACCCTGGACCACTCTTTTTAAGAGGCAGATATGGCACAAGAGGTGGATATGGAAAGGGCCACGGTGGTGGATATGGCAAAGGCCATGGTGGTGGCTATGGCAAGGGACATAGTGGTGGATATGGAATGGGCCACGGTGGTGGATATGGCAAAGGCCATGATGGTGGCTATGGAAAGGGACATGGTGGTGGATATGGAATGGGCTACGGTGGTGGATATGGCAAAGCCCATGGTGGTGGCTATGGAAAGGGACATGGTGGTGGATATGGTGGAGGTGGCCATAGTGGTGGATATGGCGGAGGTGGCCATAGTGGTGGATATGGCGGAGGTGGCCATAGTGGTGGATATGGCGGAGGTGGCCATAGTGGTGGATATGGCGGAGGTGGCCATAGTGGTGGATATGGCGGAAGTGGCCATAGTGGTGGATATGGCGGAGGTGGCCACAGTGGTGGATATGGCGGCGGTGCCCATAGTGGTGGATATGGCGGAGGTGGTCATAGTGGTGGATATGGTAGTGGTGGCCATGGGGGTGTATATGGTGGAAGTGGCCATGGGAGTGGATATGGTGGAGGGGGCAATGCAGGTGGATATGGCACTAGTGGATATGGAGGAGGTGGCTATGGGGGTGGATATGGTAATAGTGGATATGGTGGAGGTAGCCATGGTGGTGGATATGGTGGGGGCCACGGGAATGGGTATGGTAATAGTGAATATGGTGGAAGTGGCCATGGAAAAGGTAGCCATGGAGGTGGATATGGAAGTAGTGTTTCGGGGGGAAGTGGATATAGTAGCAGCGGTGTATATGATAGTGATGGATATGGAGGCGGAAGTAATGAGGAGGAATATGGTGATGATGAATATGAAGGTGGATATGGAAGTGGTAGTTCTGTGGGAGGCGGAAATAATGGCAATATTTATAGCAGTAGTGGATATGGTGGAGGGAGCCATGGGGGTGGATATGGCAGCAGTGGATACGGCAATAGTGGATATGGTAGCAGTGGATATGACGCAGTATATGGTGAAGTTGGGTATGGCGAAAGTGATTATAAGAGTGGTGGTCATGGAACTGAGTATGGCAATGACAATGGATATGGCAAAGGAGGTGGATATGGCAAAGGAAATGGATATGACAAAGGATATGGATATGGCAAAGGAGGTGGATATGGCAAAGGTGTATATGGTAAAGGAGGTGGATATGGCAAAGGAGGTGGAAATGGCAAAGGAGATGATTATAGCAAAGGAGATGGATATGGCAATGGAGGTGGATATGGCATAGGAGATAATAATGGCAAAGGAGATGAATATGGCAAAGGAGATGTATATGGCAAAGGAGAGGGTTATGGTAAAGGAGATGGATATGGCAAAGGAGATGGATATGGCAAAGGAAGTGGATATGGCGAAGATGATTATGGTAATGGAGATGGGTATGGCAAAGGAAATGGATACAGCAAAGGTGATGTATATGGCAAAGGTGATGCATATGGCAAAGGAGATGAATATGGCAAAGAAGATGGATATGACAAAGGTGAAGGATATGGCAGTAACGGTGGATATAGCTATGGATACAGAAAAGAAAATGTATATGGAAAAAGTGATGGATATAGTTACTATGATGAATCCATTAATGCTGATGAATATGACAAGACTAATGGACACGTCAATGCTGATGTCAAGTCCGATGGATATAGTAATGTTGATCAGCATATCAAGGCTGATGGATATATCAATGCTGATCCGCATATCAAGATTGATGGATATGGGAATGCTGATCAGCATATCAAGGCCGATGGATATGGCAATACTGATCAGCATATCAAGGCTGATGGATATGGCAACGCTGATCATCATATCAAAGCCGATGAATATATCAACGCCGATCAGCATGTCAAGGCCGATGCCGATCAACATATCAAGCATAACGAGAACATCAAAGACAATTGAAGAGACGGACACGGGTATTAATGTGCTCTCTGTGAGGTGAGTGCCACGGGAACACCGTTCCAATTCTTTCCTCTTGTTTTCATTGATATGTTATATATCCTTCCTGTAAGACATGGGGGACAGGGTATGTTATATGCCGTCGTGGATATGTGGATGTATTCTTACCTATTTCATTTATTTAAAACTTTCATCTTAAAAAGGGCTCTTTCTAGACATCTTTGTGACGCTTCTGTGTATTTAGTTTTCCTCACTTTGAACCGTGATCCTTTGTCTATCCAATTTGTTCCGTCGTGTCTCAAGTATGGTGAGGGTTTCATTAACTTATCCTCGAAGAGCTGTGGCGAGCCTTGTAGTAACTTTTCTGATGAATATTCCAAGCCGAGACTATATACTCAGGACTTGGTCTCAAGTAGGCTGTATTCAGGGTTTGGAAGGCTCATTTGTCTCTGTTTCTGAAGAGTATCAAGACGTGTGTCAGTATTACATTCACCTGTGAATATACACCTCGGGGTTATGTTTGGGGTTTCCTGAATATACTTAACAAGTGAGGTTAGGGGTTTTACCTGTCCTTAACTACATTGAAGAACAAGCTACTAACCTATAGGGTGTTTTCCGACGACTTGTTGCATCTAATAGTTTAAAGGCGTCTGCACTTGTCCTTTTATACATAAACTGGTATTATTTTCTCCGTTAGGGTTCAGGCCACCCCAAGTGCTTATTGATCAACTAGCAAGTATACTTCAGCTCTAGAAATAAGCCAAAGCAAAATCTGTATATATACGAATTTGCGTATATTTACCTGTTGTGGGAGACAGGTCAGGTGCTGCTTACCCCGGCCTGACTGCTAATCAGTTACTCTCCGATTAAATATAAGCATAACGAACAAAAGAAAATAGTTAACATTAAGTATTTAATACATAAACAAAGTTAAATAATTCCTAAGTAAATATAACTAAATATAATACTAATATATATAATACATATAGAATACTAGAAGGGATACCCGGCGGTGCTTGGGGTCTCTGTCTCTTTCTCTCGACGGCGTGGATGGGAAAACTTCGGATACATTATGAATACATTTCAATTTCAATTTCAATTATGAATGCATCCTCAAAAGTGTATACAGTAATTGCAGAGCTCCAGGTACCTAATATCAGCAGGGATATGAACTAAGAGATTTGTACATTCCGTAATTTAATTCCATTCTGGTTTATGGGGAATACAGAGGTAATAATACAACTGCTTCCATCTATCGGTAGAAAATAACACTAACAGTAGACCTGGCCAAAATTAGCCATAAGATACAGCATACGCCATCTATCGGAATAAAGTTACGCTATCAAACAGGCCAACCTGCAAAATAAATCATACGCCATCCAACCAGCCCATAAGGCGTATGCCACTAGGTCCGCTTATGATATTATGTTTAAACTTTAATCTAACGAAAGAGCGACCATTTCAAATTGTTAATTAAGTGATAATAAAATATTGTAGGAGATAACTGCTGTTGTACAAAAGTGGCCCCGGGTACCTAGCGTGTGACGTCATCAGTTGGTGTACTTCACACTAAATTCTGCTGCTCCCCCGTTCCCCACCATCCCCCTTCCCTCATCCTGCCCACGTCCGAATTATGAATATCAGAAATATTCTGTTAATTTTCCCGACATTAGTGAATAATGCTGTATGTTATTATAACAACAAAAATAATTGATTAGAAGGTTTTGCTTTCAAAATGTTTACAACTAGGTACCCATTTTACTGTTGGATTAAACAACTCTACAGTTAAGGATTTTCGCCCAGGACAAATTGCTCGTGAAACGCAGACGAGCGTCTAAACCACTACACCACGGAGACTGCCCTGTTTACCCCGCCCTGCCTATGTTTATCCCGGATCCCAGACCATTATCTCTTGTCAATTTAGATGCAGCTTGGCCCACGCGAGATATAGAGAACAGACAGACAGTATACATATTTTTCTAATACCAGTCTGTTAGAGCCAAAATCAAATCTGTTATAGTTCCCCATTAATATAAAATTTTTAAGCCTGCATGTAATGCACGTTTTCTCTATATCTCATTTTCAGAAGCAGAGCGCAAGAACTGATGGGTGGATATGAAGTAACTAATCAATGACGCTACAAACTAAACTAATTTTATGTATATACACCATATTATACAAATCCACAAAACAATAAATTGTAAAATAAAATGTTATTAAGTACAAATTTGTGTTATAATCACAAAATTTTTTATCTTTACATAAAAACATTATGTTTTTATAAAAAAAATAAAATAAAAAAATAAAAAAAAACACGTAAACAGTTTGTTCTATATCTCCTATGCCAGGTAAGTAAAACGGGGTTTAGCATAGTCTGTGCTGCGTTCTGAGTAGCTAAATCTAAAAAATCTGCATTTTCAGAAGCAGAGCGCTAAAACTGATGGGTGGATATGAAGTGACTAATCAATGGTGCTACAAACTAAACTAATTTTATGTATATACACCATATTATATAAATCCACAAAACAATAAAGTGTAAAATAAAATATTATTAAATTAATTAAGTACCAATTTGTGTCATGATCACAAAGAAATATATCTTTTCATAAAAACATTGTTTTTATAAAAAAGAAAAGAAAAAATACGAATAAGTTTACGTTCCTTATCTCCTATGCCAGGTAAGTACAACAGGGTTTAGCATAGTCTGTGCTGCGTTCCGAGTAGCTAAATCTAAAAAAGACACATGCTAACCATCTCTCTTCCTTTACTGTGTTTGAAGATACTTAAGTATGTTAAGGTTCACTCCATGGTACGTAATAGGTGTTCTCTTCATAAGTGTTTGTCCCCTAACTCTCCTTGCCACTTCGGGTGGGTATAGTGTTTTTATGTAGTTTCAGGGCATGGTGAGAAGGCATACCTAATTTCTCTATCAACACAAACTAAAACATCTTAAAATGATAGATGAAAATTTCCACCCACAAGAGTTAAGATGATAATAACACGGAACGTTATTTTGTTTTTCTTATATGAGACACAGCACACAAAGGGAAAGTTGCACAGTATATCATTAAAAATTACTAAAGCTGAGGGCAAAACAACAAACTGCCTAAGCGGCAAGATTGGTGACGTGACAGCATCATACACGGGAAAACAATTCAAAGCGGAAGCTCCTAGCAAGGCCCCGGAGCGAGAGAGAGGTCATGTATGGGGTCCCTACGGCCTTCGCCATACCCACTCGTGGACTCCGGCCAGGTCATCCACCCTCCTGTGAGGAAGCATTTGGAGAAGTGGTACTTCAAATGACATTGTTATTGACAAAATTTTATGTACAATTTTGCATAATCTGAGGATTTCAATTAAGTCTTAATAAAGTGAGGATAATGCTGATATTCACTATCACAGGACAGAGGGTCATAAACAAGACAATAGGTCTGAACTGTAGGCTGAAGCATATATATATAATATCACAGTTACAGTTTGTGTAACTATGGTTACACACTTGATGATACAATAGGTCAGGTCTAAAAAAAAAATGTTTCACATTCAACCATATAGTGTTCTAGGGAATTCACTAAAGGTTTGTCTCAGAGTTTACAATCTGAATATTCTGGTAGTGGATCAGCCTCACTAACCTGTCAGATGTGCCTATAGCCAAGGCGAATTTTGCACAATGACTACATCACATTGCCTGGTCCGGTTACTGTGCTGACCATACAAATACCTATTATTACAAAAGTTGTCATAGCTTTTAATACTGCAGCTTACAGGTCTCTGGGCATTTCTTAGTTCTTCTAAATCTGAATTAATTACTTTAATTTGAATATTTCTTATAATTGCATTAGATAGTCCAGTCATAATCAGTGTTTTCTTTCCTGCAAGTATCATTGGCCAATCGATCTACTAAGTCATGTTTTCCAACTCCAACATGGGATGGGATCTACACGAATTTTATACAATAGTTATTATCATTGGCAAAAATTACATTCCATTTAATATTACAAACTACTTCAGACATAAACTGTGATGGATTATTTAAGGACTGTAGGTCACTTTTTTGTTACAGAATTTCACTCTACCACCATTGAGTTTAATTAGATATTCAATATCTGGCTGTTGGCTCTTGTTAATATTAAAGGCGGTTATCGTCGAAGACTTTCATCCACGGACTGTGTTAATATATGCCCTATATCATACCTATGTTGCGTGTGGAGAGAGCTCGTCCTCTCGAACGTTCACGTTACTTAAATGAAGTATTATATGGCCCGAACTTAACCTGATCGAGGATTCACGAATAGAAACGGGACATCTCGTCAATTTTGCGAGTCGCTTTGATTTTTAAAACTCTTACTTTAACGTTGGGGATTTGTTTATCCTCTCACATAACTCATAACACGATGTGTTATGCAAGAGGACAGTTTGCGCAAGCTTACTATCTCGTTGATATGAGGACATCCGCAAGTCGCTGAAAGGGTCTCCAGGTGAGGGATCAGTTCCACTTTCACCGAGACGACTGACTCAGTGAGTCAGATGATGATGTGTGACTCATTCCCAGTGATGTTGGGTCATTATCAGTTGAAGCCTCATGGCTCAGTCAGGTTATGTATTTTTACGTTTGGTAACCCAAAATAATATTCCATTCACCTGGGCTGTATGAGCCTCGAACGGTCGAGGTATATAGAGTGTCGGCCTCACACTGTTCGAGATCCATACAGCCCAGGTGAATGGAATGTTTATTTCCACGAAAGTGTGGATGTTAATTTATACAAAATATTATTTGCATATTATTTATTATTGTTTATTTTACGAGACTAATTCCAATAAATTATGACATATAAGTTATAAATATATTCTCTTGTTCCATTATCACTTATTTCAGCTCAGGGTGTCTTGGAAGGACGGGTTCCGGAGCGTTGGGTGCCAGATGTGGTAGAAGCCTCCGTCTCTTGGGCCTTCAACACTCCAAGACCCTTGGAAGGAAAACAAGGTAAAACAGTTATCAGGAGACAGAGCTGAGCTTAACCGTTTAACACAAAGCACAACTAGGTGAGTGCACACACACACGCACACAACGCTTCAAAATCAAACGCTAAATAGTTTTTCCGGATAAATCGTTGCCAGATAACCCTGACAAGAGAGAAACCTTCCCTACGGACGTAGGATTATTTTGTTTTTTTTACATGGGTTCTGGTATCGTTCTAGAATAATCTCAATAAGAGCATGAAAACAAAACTATCTCTAACTAAACCTATCTCATCGCAGAGCTTAACTGTTTACGAGTCCAAGTCTCGTAAACTCCTGGGTACCTATTTACTGCTAGGTGAACAGATGCATTAGGTGATAGGAAACGCACCAAATCTGTTCTGTCCCACCCGAGATTCGAACCCAGAATTCCCTATTGAGTCAAGAACGAACCCGACTGTACTACCGGGCCCATCTGACATGAAGATAAGGTGAGACATGAGAACAAAGAACTGGAATATGAGTACCAGGAACTGCCATATGAGTACAAGGAGCTTGGATATAAATATAATGAGTGGATACATGAGCTTGAAGTGAAGGAACGGTGCCCAATTACTTGGACTATCAGGGATCGAACCTGTTACCATGCAAGAAGTGATGCAGTCGCTGTACAAACTACATTTCAACGTGAAATCTAGCTTAAGTAAGAAATATTGATCTGCAACAGACCAACCAACCAACCGATTAATCCATATTTTTTGTCGTCAAAAATATAGAAGAAATAACGAAGACTTGGTGAAAGGTAACGTATGTCTTAGACATGCAGGTGTTGTAAAGATTTCTCTCACCTGGGATAACTAGATCTAGCGGCCGTAACCATAGCCACCAAGGCCGACGCCGAGTCCATATCCACCAAATCTGTAACCATATCCACCGAATCTACGGCCATATCCCCCATATCCACCGTATCCGCCATATCCGTCATATCCACCGTATCCGCCATATAAGGATCCACTAGGAGCAGCCTCTGCATGGGTTAATGCCGACAACAAAAGGCCTCCCACCAATACCACCATCAGCAAGAACTGAAACTAAGAAATCAGCAAAAAACTTCATACATAGCAAATAAATTTAATACATAATCAACATGAAAAAAAATATTTTGCAAAGACAGTAAAGATGCACAAGCCTCAACAGCCAGTCAGTCCCTCTCAGCCTGAGTGTATGTCACTCACAGTTCTGGAGACCATCGTCAAAGATGTCCTCTTGACAGGGAGTCACAGTCGACACTGTCCAACACCGTTTGCCACCTCTTTATATATACTAAACACCTGGGCTTCCACCAGTAATTACCGGCTACCACACTCCGGACTGGATCATGGAAATTTCTTTCTGTGGGAATGTCGAGAAGAGTGATAATTACGAGAGAAGTGTCCTTGAGGCGGCGCTTGGTAACACTACTCCACAAGGCTCGTGTGAACATTGGCAAGAGAGTGAGGTGAAAATAAGTGAAGGTGAATACATATACTGTATGTATTCACATGTGTGTGAATACATATACTGTATATGTATATATATGTATACACATATCCAATAGTGTAACTGTTGATGACAAGGACTTGCCTTACTTTACCGAGTTCCTTCTCAACCTGCTTCCAACTGTAGCTGTGTGAAATAGCACGGTTAACGTAGGCAACCACAACACTTAATCATATACTAATAAAACAATAATGTTATTTTTCTTAAGTGTAGACTGAAGCATTGAAGGTATTATTCCTTTTTGTGACTGTTAAGTCTAATAAAGGCAGCTTGACTTCACTTTCCATCCCCCTAAGAAAACTTAAAGAAAAAAATTTGTTAAAAAACTTTCTTGAGTATCAGCAAGCTATACCGGAAGAATATTTCAATATACCAGGAGACCTGAGGTTTCAAGTCCAGGTCATCAAGGACTTTCTCCTCAATGGTACTCATATAAAATGTTAAGAATGAAATACGTATAGTGGAAACCATGACAACGCCATTACTTGTTTATTCAGACTATCAGGGTTCAGGAAAGGTGCCTGTCTAGTACATGCATCGAGTAGGTAGGAAATTGTACGATTTTGAGTCCTCAAGTAGAGAAAAATTGAATCTCAGTAGGCTTTGTCAATTACCAGGCCAATATAATTTATCCAGTGGCACGTTGGTAAACATTTAGAGATGGTCTTATACTAGCATGATCTCTTACTAACATGATCACTTACTAGCATGATCACTTATTTATGATCTGGCAATCAGTTAAGAAATTTCTCTGGAGACTAAAGGCTGAATGCACATGACACAAATAGTTTGACATTGAGCATTAGCTGGGTAACTGTGTGATTGCATGGCTGATTGTGTGGTTGGATGGGTGATTGTGTGGCTGAATAACTACTTAGAAGAAGAAATGGCTAGCGACCTGGTTTTGTGAATAACCGGATATCTGCTCGTTTAAGCGATTGTATTAAGAGTTTTCGAAAGTCAAAATTTGATGTGTGAGTTTTGTGTACTGATAAGCGCAAACGACGACTTGTAAACCGGCGTCGACTGTGGAAAGTTAGAGACTCAAGATTTTGTCAGGCCGCAAGGGGAAACCTTGGCTGTTTAAGCAGATATATATATATATATATATATATATATATATATATATATATATATATATATATATATATATATATATATATATATATATATATATATATATATATATATATATATATATATATATGCGAACAAGCCTGAATGGTCCCCAGGACATATGCAACTGTATTTAATACATAATATTTTACTGAGTACTCTCAAATGCTTTATTTTTTAAATATATGTACATTAGTATATAAGTTCATTGTATTCTCAAAAATATACATTCTAACAATTATCAGTCTATCACGATGAAAAAATATTAAGAGTAATTATAATTAAATTAGTAGTTTATGACATTTTTCCAGAAAATTATTGCTCAAATTTTCCAGAATGACTAACCAAAATATAAATAAAAATTGCAAAGACTGTATATGTTGTTCATTTAAATGTACTTAGCGGCCATATCCGTGACCTCCAGAGACACCACCATATCCGCTTCCATATCCGTAACCTCCAGAGACACCACCATAGCCGCTTCCATAGCCACCGCCATATCCACCACCGTAGCTGCTACCGTAGCCACCACCATATCCACCACCGTAGCTGCTTCCGTAGCCACCGCCATATCCACCACCGTAGCCACCGCCATATCCACCACCGTAGCCACCGCCATATCCACCACCGTAGCCGCTTCCGTAGCCACCGCCGTAGCCATATCTACGTGCAGACCCTCCATACCCACCGGATATCCCACGGAACCCTCCAAAGCCACTGTAACTGCCTAAACTACTGCCAAATCCGCCATACCCTCTGCCGTAGCCGGCAGCTACCCCAGCAACTGCTTCCGGGTTTGCAAGAGCCGCCACCGCGAAGCCGGACACCACCAATGTAATCATTATCTGCAAACAAATAAGCATTTACTTGATACAGTGTTTACATGTGTGTATATTATATTATTGTTAACACAATAACTTAATCAAGAATATGCAAAGATATATAAAACGTTAGACATGATCACAAAATATAAAATACTTAAGGTTTCATGCTTAGAATTGTCGAGGACAAGAAGCCCGTAAGGATTATCGAGGTCTGATTAGTCCTAGGCAACGACTAGGTGAATAGAGGAATCAGGTGTAAGGAAACGTGAACTGTTCTTATGTGAGCCAGTGAAATAAGGAAGAATTTCTTCGGTGTAGCGTAAGGAGAGATCAATAGAAGTTAGTAATCTGTAGTCAGATTTATAATATCAGACATGACAATAAACAAGGTCATTTGATCAGGTTCCCTACACCTAAATCGGCTCAGGAACAGATGCTCGTATCATGCAAACAAATTTAAGCAACAACCCATACTTATTAGAGAGAACATTCAGTCGGTTCATTAGAGCAACAGAGTAGTTCAAACTACACTGTTTTTAACATTAAATGTAATGATCAACGGTTTTCAAGCAGTGTCTCAGCATTAATATTAACAATCTCCGCGACTTACAGCCCTGGAGACCATCTTGGGGACCTGAAGGTGTTCACTTGTCAGGGAGTCACAGTCCACACTGTCCACCACCCATCGTCTCCACATTATATACCTCCGACGCCCCATCTGGCACCTGGTCCTTAACCACTAATCACTCGGTGCCACACACTGATCTGTACTGCCAATTCACACCGGGAGGGAAAACTGTGGTCCAGTACTTGCGAGAGATGGAGACCAACAGTAATGAGAAATTTCAACAACAGCTGCGGTGTGATCTTGAGAATTTCGTCACACGTACACCGATATGATCTAAATACCTGTGCCGGTATGAACATTATGGCGTCATAGGGACACATCACACACCATTTATAAGACACAAAATGTTATTTCATATTTTTGTTAGATTAGGTTTGTTTAAAAAGAGTATCGATGACGTAAGGGGGGGGGGGTACATTATTTCCACAGATCTTAGATCCTACTCAGTCACACATCATCACCTGGTCCATCCACCTTTAGCAGGTTATTAAGATCACCACAATTGCTTACTGGCCAACCAGCAAGCATACTTTATTCTTGAACATAATCCAGAACTAAAGTAAACTCAGTGTATATACATCGAGAAGTGGGAAACTCCTCTAAGTGTATATATTCCTTATCACATTATCATGGTTTGGAGTTGGGCTTCAAGCCTATCAACTTTTGGAAGGTTATTCAGGCCACAACAATTGGTAACTCATCAACCAGCAAAAAGTCCTGAACATATTCCAAGACTCATGTAAATTGTAAATTGAAAACATATATACCGAAAAGCAAGTGTCACTCTGTGTGTATATATCCCATAACACATTATTATTGATGAACACAGAATATTATAGGTCCAGACTCAGGCCAAAAAAAGTGTCCATTACAACAAAATTACCGAAGAACACAGTCCATGTTCCAACTATTACAAATGTGTTATTCACAACACAAAATTGTAAGAACACGTTATATTAAAGACTTACGAATAAATAGCATGGAGATGGGATTCCCACCTAGAGGTTTATTAGGACAACACTAGTGCTTACTGACCAACCTATTGGCATACTATTCACCGAGAAGCGGGGTACACCGGTGAAGTTCACCTCTGTATATAACAAAATGTATAATAATTAAAATAAAAGTATATTTTAGGTACTGACTGCAGTCATGGTATGCTTATGAATATAATTTAAAAAACAGTTTATTATAGGTATTGATTGCAGTCATAGACTACAAAAAGACTTTTTATTGCCATGCTATTGACTACAAAAAACATTTTAGAACATGAAATTGTTTGGTTCAATCCCTTTTTAAATATATTGTACGAAAAAAAGTATAGTGATCCTCTGTTATTCGGAAACATCCATCCAGCCATCCAATCGTTTTTACAGGCCACATCCTGTAACAATTAATTATAATACGAATTCATTGCTAATATTTTATATTAATACCTTTCGAGATACAACATAAATTCATTTAATATGTCGTCCGTGTTAAATGACCTACAACACTGATCGCATTAATGCCACAGTTAACCACACTTAAAGATGATGGAATGCTATAACGCTTCTAATCCAATATGAGGCCTTCTTCAGTAGCCCAACTATTCTTCAGCAGCTACTGATGATGACCACCTACTGGGCTGAAAGCGCTGTAGCATTCTCTCATCTTTCAGTGTGGTAACTGTGGCATCTGTATATGATACAGTGATGATAGTTGTTAAAGATGAAGAAGGATAACATCTTAAAAGATAAAGATGTTAGAGGGATGAAGATAGTGTATAGTTAAGATTGTTACAGTGATGAAGATAATGTGTAGTGAAGCTGTGGTTTCCATTTCCCGAGCAGTGTCAGTACCCTTCTAGTATGCAAATAAAACAAGTCTAAGTATGGTATACATATATACTGACTTGTTTCAGTAGAAATGTGTCGCTCTAGCAAGCAGTAAAAGGAGTTAATATCTGCATGTGAAGTAACACCAAAGATCATATAGAAGGTCTTGGAACACTTCTCGCTATTTTGTTGGTCTCTACTGAAGGTTGAGGACATTGAGGTTTTCTTCAAGCTGCCACATGAGTGAGTTGGCAGTACAAGTCAACGCATTGCGTCCAGTATTTAACGGCTAAGGTCAGAGTGCCAAGTGTAACCAACCAGTAATTTGTGGTAGAGGGCCAGGTAGATATTGCGCTGGAGGTATATAAAGTAGGAAAGAATAAATGCTGAGCATTGTTGCCTGAAATTCACTGGCAGGAGGATAACGTGAAAGGCGCTAAGATGGTCTCCAGAATTGTAAGTGAGAGAGTTAATGCTGTTTCGAAACCAGTTGGAAATGTTTTGACACCAGCTGGTGCTGAATCTACCATAAGAATCTAAATTAAGCTTTATAACTGATGATGCTACGTTTGATCAGCTTTTGACGTTTGTTGTACCGAGTGCAGCAGGTGTTGGTATTATTTTATGAAATACTAAAACCAATATTTTGCTTAGAATTTAACTTTGCATTTCAACTGGAGATCTTCCCGAAACATAGGTTTATCATGAAGGTGTGACAGATTTAACTGATCAGCAAGTGAAATCCAGCAGTAAGCAATGCATATTTAAGTGCAATTACAGCGAAGAAAAACTTACAAATTCTCGAAATTTCATTCACTACTGACATTTTGATAATATATGTGGTGTGTGTTTCAGGTAATGATGCTAGCGGGTCTCCTAGCGGTGACCATGGCCCTTCCTGACGCAGCGCCGTCAGGAGTTGGCTACGGTAGTCTGCGCTCTGGATACGGTGGTTACGGAGGAGGCTATGGTGGATATGGCGGAGGTTATAGCGGATATGGTGGATATGACGGTGGTTACAGCAGATATGGTGGCTATGGGCAAGGGTTAGGTCTTGGATACAGTGGATATGGGAGCTTCGGCGGTGGATTTGGACGTGGATATAGAGGCTACAGCAACGACTATAGTGACTACGGAAGTGGATATAGCTATGGCCATAGACGCTGAGTACATGTTGAATCTAGTAAGTAGTATTTCATGATACGTCTTCCATATTATAAAGTGCATGCGAAAAAAACGCTTCAAGGCTCTTTTTTTTTTTAGACGTTGAAACTTACTTATGCCTAGGGGGCTTTCTATCAGAACTCGAGACTGAAATTTCGCTTATGGTCACTGGTATTCAGATATTTGTATATTAATAAAATGCTAAATTTTATATTTGTTACTTTTGAGATAGCAATAATGTTAGTAGGGTAAAAATAACCAAAGCTGCTCTATCCTTTTACGATGTATTTTATTACCTCAATAAACTCGAACAATAGCGTTATAACTATTTTGTTCAATGTTATTATAATCGTTATTTGTATTATTAATATTATTATAAATTGCAGATCTGTATTGGATGCCGATTATGGTTCTGTCTACGGAAATATTATTTATTATTAATAAAGGTTACAAGCATGACATCTTTTTAATTATTCGCCTTAAAATTGTAATAACTATGTAAAGGAACAGCTGCAGTGATATTTAGAATAAATTGAAATATTGTTTAATTTTTATTTATTATTTTGACAATTATAGTTAAGAACTTATTAACATTTAGCTTTAGAAAAATAACAGTAGGTGATGTTTTCATTGGTAAAATAAGTTCCGATGCATTAAGAACATTATCAGAGAGCACGTCATATATAAATATTATTATTGCCCATAGATTAAAATATATAATATGAAATATTTTAAATCAAACACTTCCTAGGAAAAGTAAAACCAGCTTAATTATATTTTGTTATATATTTGCAAGTATAAATCGAATACAATATTTTGTTTTAAATA